CACAGTTCTGACAGTGTGTGCACACATCTACGTGTAGCCATTCTTCCACATTTGAACTGAGTGGATAGTGAAATTGCTGTAAATACAGACTGATAAGGAAGAAAGAAAAAAAATAAAACCTGCTTTAAAACCCAGCAACACAACTGCAGTTGTATAACTTTACAACAGCAACACTGCTTTAACAAAAAAGCAAAACAGCAAGACTTATTTGACATCAAAACAAACATTTTAAAAATGCTGTCTAATCGCTCTTGCTGTACTTTGATGTCACACACAGAACAGTCTGTGCAGTGCTGCTTCAAGTCCAACACCTATTGTGTTTTATTAGGAGACGCACAACAGTTCTTCTGTCGCTTTATAGGTAATATTTTCACGTACACAATTTAGCAAAGTCAGACAATATTGTGTCCAATATATACCACAATATTCATTTCTTATTATTGAATTGTTGTAAATAAATATCACATTTGGAACTAGTCAGTGTTCAAAAAATGCTGGGAAATCACTTCAAGTAGCCCTACAAGAGTGATTACTGATAAACTGTCTGAAAAAAAGTCACGTTTTAGAGAAGAAAGAAAATCACCTACTGACTTTCAAAGCTGCTAACGACTTTCTACTTCGAGGACCTTGATAGAAATGTAGCGGAGTGAAAAGTACAATATTTGTCTTTCAAATGTAGTGAAGTTAAAGTCATAAGTTTCCAGAAAAAAGAATACTCAAGTAAAGTACAGATACTCAAAAAGTGTACTTAAGTACAATACTCAAGTAAATGTACTTAGTTACTGTCCGCCTCTGGATATGAGTTGAAACTTTGATTAAAACCTGCAGCTTTTTCATTATGAGCTCAAAACTTTACTATGCTAAGCCTACATAATTATACACCAATAATACAAAAAAATAATAAGAAGAAAAAATGAATAAGAAAATTGAAAAAGGAAACAATAGAAATATTTAGCTTTTTTATTTTTTACATCAGTGCCTCTCATTCTCTCTTGCTGAATGCTTCATCCAGCCGGCCCCAAAACCACCTGCATGCAACAGCTCAAATAATTCACTAAACATAACGACATGTGAAATGCAAGAAGCATCACCGGTGTAAACAGGGCGACAACTTGCTGTCAGAGTAGAAATGCCATTTCCCATTGGAGACTGACAGTCTATGGGGTCAAGTCCACATGCTTGCGGTCTCAGCTCTCATCTGCCTCTAGATTGATGTTGTTTCCAAACTTGGCATATAATTGAACCTTCAAATCTCCAAGGACCTCCTGTATGGACGACACACGACCCTCCAGAGCTTTGATCTCATCCTGCAGAGCTTCCTGTGGATAGCAGAATACAAGTATGGAAATGTTGAGTGGCACAACCAGGGTTCAAAACAAACACTCAGCAAGCAAGAAACACAAGTACAAATTGGTTTTACTTGGAATAATATGTATATTGAATAATATGTGTTAAATAACAGGGCAGCCCAGACAGAGACTACAAAAGCTTACGTTTAAAGGGGTCATATGATGCGATTTCAAGTTTTCCTTTCTCTTTGGAGTGTTACAAGCTTTACAAGCTTAGATAAGATCCCTAAAGTTGCAGAGTAGCCTACAATGCCAGTGTTCTGACAAATAATGCTGACTCGCAGTCTGTAAGTACGCTTTCATATTTAAAGAATTAGCCACTGATGATTCAAACACAAGTTTTGAGCAGTGTAGAGTAGTGCTTGTTGTTTGTCATTTCTCGGATCACAAATGCAGATATGGTTTTATGTTTCAAGTCAAGTCAAGTTGAGCTTTATTGTCATTCTGCTGCATGTGGGGACATACAGTGGAACGAAATGTCGT